TTGGCCAGCGTCGTCCATTTCTTCACCCAATCCAGAGTCTCATCAGTGAGACTGTTTGGAGGTGGAACTGGCAAAGCAAGTGAAGAGCTGGGCTCTGAGTGTATGTGTGTGTGTGTGTGTCGGGGGGGGAGAGACTTGATGTCCTTATGGGGACAAAGAGCAAGACCCCAAACTGTAAATCATTACATTTTAGAGGGATGGCTTGGTTTAAAACCCTCTGGAGGTCCTGGGGGTCATATTTGGGGTTTTGATATCGACTTATATGGATGGATTATGTAAAGCCCTCCTGAGGGTTAAAGGTGTAGTCAGTAATTTATGAAAGTGTATCACTACAGCAACAATACTAGCGACTAGGAAGAGCTGATGTTAAAGGAAACATCTGAATACTAGCAACTGGGGCACAATGTGGCTAACCAGCTACAGACCCCACTGTTATTCTCTCACAACAATCTCCAGCTGCTATAGCTGAAGTCAGAACAACCGCATATATTTGCAAACTAGCGATTTATCTGGAAAAGTTGATTTACTCTAGCAAACAGGCTAATGTGACACAGGTAATGTAATTAGCTAACATACAGTAACATTGCCACAAGGATTAATTCACTGAAGAGCATCATACTGACCAAAACGATTTTCAGTGGCACATAGTAAACAATTTATCCACCTGTCCAGCAAAGAAAGAGCCACCTCTGTGTTTGTCCTCATCATTTTTAAATCCCAGGGCCGTCTCCATCTTTGGAAAGCAGCAGGTAGCTACGTTTACTCAGGTCTCCGACCTTGCCTGATTACAGTCCTTTTTTTCAGTTTTTGTTCTTTTGTCTTTCTCCTGTTCAGTTGGTGGAAGTGATATTTTTTCAGCCATCTCTCCCTTTATGCTACGCAGTGATGTTGTGACTTTCCAAACTCTAGCTTATGTCAGTTTGAAATATCTTTTCAGAATGGGTGTGTTTTGTACGTGCCTACACAAACGACTGTGTGGAACAAGGCTGGATGACAAATGTGATTCAGAGCTGTGAGTGTTTTGGTTTATTGTTTCATGAAGGGGAGAACTTGGAACAGCTGAGTGGAGTTTGACTGAAGGGTTGATAGGCATCTGTACCTATGCACATTAATGCATGTGTTTTTGTGATGATGTGGCCTTTTATGTGATATGCATTCACATGTGCATGTATATGCCTAATTGTGTCACTACATGTCTATATATCTGTTTGTATACACACTGTTTTTCATTGTCTATGTATGTGTTTTTAAGACATAAGTAAATAAAAAAGCACTGACATAAGTTAGGTGATTAAGTTGTCCAAAGGAAAGATGCCCGATGATTGACTGGTCAGTTTCAGTATGAGTACACAGGTTTAGTGCTGGACGAGAAAACAATGAAATATGTTTGTTTACCTGTTGAACAGTATCTTGCTGAAAGAGTGGGCAATAATATTCATACATCATTGACTCAAACTGTAGTAGTGCATCTATGCTTCAATATGACAGTGTTACAATGAGCACTGGAGCTTTTAATTGAATTTGTGAATGCAGAATATGTTCAGTACGTGCACATGTGTAAGTGCATACAGTAATAATAAAGCCACAGTACTGTGTAGCTTTGTGTGCACCAGAAGCCCAGTGTGAGCCAGCAGGCTGCTGCTCTCAGCCCACCACAGCAGACTAATGGATCACTGTCAGTGTCTCCTGTAATTACTGAGATATGACTGTGTCCTTATAGAAATACTCCCCCTCCTCCATCATTCTGTAGCCATTGCATGTGTGTGTGTGTGTGTGTGTGTGTGTGTGAGAAGCTGTGTATGCTTCCTCTCCAGCATGCACATAAACATTAGACTCTAACAGATAGTCAATGTGTATCTGGTTTGTGCCAGGCAGTAGAATGTAAAGGCAGGTTATTCGTTTAAATATGTTCAGCTCTTTTCAGGCTGCTGCTACACATAAGGCTGTAAAATGAGTATAGAAAGCTAAAGACCCTCCTGGCAGGCATCTGTTGCACTACCTCCTCTAGCTTGGAAGACAGACCCGTCACCAGACCAGCTCACATGGACATGAACCCATCCCTGCACTCTGTGCTGAATCTGTGGTTAAGCAACACAACTGAATTTGTTTTATTTTACTTCAGATAAAACTAAAACGTAATGTAGTGATTTGGCAGTGCTAGCCCCTGTAACAAAGGAAAAATGTTACTGAAAATGTCATGTAGTGTAATTCAACCCCTGTTTCCTTAAAGGAGAGAGAGATAATTTAATAGAATTAGCGTTCCACAGACACAGCTCCCATCAGGCTTTGACAGCGTGTCAGTGTCTAATATTCATGTTGATGAATGCTAACAAGGCTAGAAAATAGACATAAACATTTTCATATAAAATTTCACATGAACGCTGCTGTTTCTTGATGTGTAGTTTTCCACTGAGAACCCCCGTTTCATTTTAATGGTATCCTCAGTTGTTCTCAACACAGAAACCAGGCTTTATTGTGAAGGCTTACATTATTAATTATTATGAAGCCATATTTTGTTTTGTGTTTTTAACATCATGATGTCTGACTCTCAGTCAGAGCAGCAGAGGTGGAAAGTCACTAAGTACATTTACTCAAGTACTGCGCTTAAGGACAGTTTTTAGGTATCTGTATTTACATTTTGAGTGTTTCCCTTTTCTGTTACTCACTACAGTGCTTAGTTTTCAGAATGAGATTAATAAAACAAAATACAGTGGAATCATAAGACTTTATTGATCCTTGATGCAGAAAAACTCACACACTACCCATCTTTATGTAAGTATATAAGGTAGTTAACATTAGCTCCACCTTTACCAGCTGCAGGATTAATGTACACAATTACAATCTAATAATATGATAAGCATTCATGTGAACTCTGCCATATATTTATAGAGGGAGAGAGATGCTAATACCTTTGTACTTAAGTAACATGTTGAATGCAAGACTTTTACTTGTGATATTTATACCTTTACTTAAGTAAACAATACGTCTTCCACCCCTGCCAGTCAGTGCTGAACAAATTCAACACATCTTTGCCACAGCTGATAATAAAACATCAGTTTTGGAATTTGTTTGAAGTTGGCCCAGAATTAGAAAGTGAGCTGGTTCCAACAGCTGAATGCTTTGTTGGGTCTCCTCTGTGTAACTTTCACTGCAAACACTAATTGGATTCTAGGATTTTAAGCTAATTGACAATTCTGACTGAAATGCTTGTGTGGAGTCACAATTCTCTTCTCTCCTGATGTTTTACACACACAGGCTTCTTTGACTGTGTATCAAAGAGAACACAGGTGCTCACCCTTTGTACTGATGATTCGACCAGGAGAGCTAGACCTGCTCCCTGGACACCCCAACTCTTTTAGTAGCTCGCTTAACATATGGAAAAGATCAAAAGATATTCAACAGAAACAGCTGCGGTCAAGGAAAATTGCCGTTTCAAGAAAACATCGGTTGATATGGGAGATTACGTTACAAAGAAAAACAGCCCTTGCCTGGAAATCTTGATACTGTATATGCAGAAATATATTTTGATTACCATTGTTCCCATTGCCACACAAACAGCCCCCTCAACACACGCCAAGCTCCCCTCTCACATCACTTAAAAATTCAACACAAACACACTCCCCATTATTAATGGACCTGAACTAGCATTAGTGATTTAGTGGGCTGTTATTGGCCTTTTATTAAATCCTGATTAATGGCTGTGAATACTTGGAAGTGCTTTGCATGAAAATGGGGGAAAATATCAAGTTGTTGAAGAGTTGCACAGAATATCAGCTATCAAAAGAAAACTGTCATTAGTGTTCAAAAGCTCAGCGCTGTTAGCACAATGCAAACACACACCGACTTCTGTTCTCTCCTTATAGTTTGTGTCCCTAACATTTGCCACTGACACTATTTCGTGCTCGGCAGTGTTAGCGTGCTGTGTTGCCAAAGACTTTTTCCGTGTCCACTGTCGACACATACAAGTTGCAGTAAATAATGTGAAAACTAAATCTAGACTCCCTGTGAGATTCATACTTGAATGCTGCCTGGAAACATTAAGGCCCGTTATGATGTTTGGCTTGTAACAGTTTCTGAGAAGCAAGTTGTGTGTCTGCTCTGCCAGACCCGTTCAGCTTCTCATTTGCTGATCTCTGTATTTATGTCACTCAATCACTCTCTCCACTCACTCGCTCCATCATCTTCCCTGTTCACATTCATATTTTCTCACACACCGTATTTGTCTTCCTTTCACACACGATTATGTGATTATGTTCCAGCAGATAAATATAGTTCAGATTTTGTAACTTCTGCAGCCATACTGGGAGCAATTCCATCATAGTTTGCAGACGTTTGTGCAATTGATTTAGCAAAGTCACATTCTTACAGAGGAGTCCACTGATTCAAAGTTGTTGCAGATTCGGTAAGTTCTTGTTGGGGTCTGCCTGAAATTCCAGTGGTGTTTACTTTTCCCCACCAGCTACTGGTGTGTCAGTTAACTGCTGTTGTTGGTGTAGCTGTGTTGAAAAATGGACTTTTCTTGTGTTTTGTTTTGCATGTGTCCATAAATCAGATCGCTGTTGTAAACATTTTGCTAGCAAGATCAAATGTCACTTCATTGTCACTGTATTCCTATAAAAGATAAGGTGCATCATTTCACAACATGGGCCTGTTTGCAACCTGGGGTTCAGTGCCCGAAGACACTTCGACATGGATTGGGTAGAACGGGAATCGAACCACCTACCTCCTGATCCACAGCAGCCCCCAAGACCAGCACCTATCTCTGAAATGTAAATGAGTCAGTAAGACGTCTAGTTTAACCTTAAAGTTGAACATCCTACATGTTTTTGTTTTTCATTAATAGACCAATAGATTTACGGGAAAAAACCAAAACGGAACTTTTATGTTTTGTCACATTCAACACGACCCACACATGTAAATCACCGCAGAAGGAACGGCTGACAGCGTTTTACCAACGCTCATGAGGTCTCTCGCTTGCCTGTTTGGCCGCTGCCCACACCTCACACCAGACCCACATACCAGCGCGAGCTTGCGTGCGCAGTTTCCCCGCTCCAGCCCTGCATGCATGCGTCGGGAGCGCACAGAGGGCGCACCGGTATCAGTTTGCTCCAGACCTTTGTAGCGGTCGGTAGCTGCTGGTTGCGCGCAGTGCCGTCTAGGAGCAAGAATTTGGGGAGTGGAAATTCTTCTGTTACTTTCACGGCTCGGCTCGTATTCCTGACATTTCTGCTGTAACAGTCAGTCGTTCGCTGCCAACAGAGAGGCGGAGAACTGAAGGAGGAGTAAATGTCTGGAGAGCAGTGCTCCGATGTTCCCCGCGGTTGGTTTACACTGAGTACCGCTTAACTCGTGATTTCTCCTCTTTAATTTCTTCCTGGGAAGTACGTCTACTGATCCCGTTCGGTATCAGAACCGAGGACAGCACAGGGGCCACTTTCGGCGGAAGGATTTTTCCTTTTGATTCTTCGTCTATTCATTTGGATTATTTTTTTCGGAGATGGCAAGTTGGTCCCTGACAGACGCGGGGATCTGGTGCTGAAGCTCACAGGATGCTGGGGACCCGACACCAACCCGATCTCTCACTTTGAGACCCTTTTCGGTTATTTTTCTCTCTTGGACGTAGTCCCCGTGGACCTTGTTTCGCCTCCGTTTATTCATATTTTCGCTCCACTTTTACAGAATGCCTGTGTTGTACAATCTAATAAGGATGCGCAGTGGATTGCTATTGTTCCTTTTCACCCAAGTCATCTCGGTTGCTTCGTTGACTCAGACTGGTAGGTGTTGACTGGTTGTATGAATGCATGTGGCTTGACAACAGGCAAACCACATGCATTGGCTATACTTGTCCATTTTGCATCATTTTGCATCGTTGTTGCCTCTCACCTGTTATGCCTTGGCTGTCCCTTTGAGAGCACGTCTACAGGGACTCAAGCTCGACCATGTAAACGCTGTTTTTACTTTAATTACCTTCATAGGGAACAATACGATGGGTGTTACACCAAATACACCAAAACAGGATTATTTTATGTAACCATACAAAAGACGCGCTAAGTACCTTCCTGTCACTACAACCACAGTTTAAACACAAAGTTCCAATGCTAATATTTCCTTATTACGGTAGAAACATGTTTTCACGGTCATTTTGCGCTTCAGCCAGTCAAAGACGCGTTTCGAGCTGTTGCGCATGTTGCACTGAAGCATGATACACGCTACGAGCTATTTAATAAACCATTAATAGAGAAAATTAAACGTTATCCTTCTGCCTATTTGCGGGAGAAGCAGCAGCCAGCCCACCTCACCTTCATGGGCGTAATTACACTTTATGTCAGGGATACAAAGGGACCCACTTCACTTCATACCACCTTTTTTAAAACAGTGTAATTTTGTCACTTTCTTCAGGCTGGCAGAGATTCCTGTGCTGTCAATTTATCATCACGATGGGGGCTTAGCGCAAGAATTACTGCCTTTCTGTCAACATCATTTTTGCTCTAGTGGTGGATATTTGGATTTATGATGATCCCCAGTTGGAGGTGTCGGTTCCCTCACTCCCATTAATACCAGTGCTTTTCAGTCTTTTACACCAAAATGCGCCATCGATCAACATTTGGGTGCAGTTCGCTGACCATCAAGTCGTTTTCTCGCCAGTAACTGACTGAATAACTTTCTGCCTTCTCTTGTGCTGCAGATAAATGCGGGGGGACTATAGAGATACACACTGCGAACTACCTGACCTCCCCAGGCTATCCCGGAGCCTACCCGCCCTCCCAGCAGTGCGTGTGGGTTATAACCGCCCCTGAGCAGAGTCAGAAGATCCTCATCAACTTCAATCCGCACTTTGATCTGGAGGACAGAGACTGCAAGTAAGAGTTCACTCCTCACTTTCTGTCCTCTTCCTCTCCCACCCTCCTCTGCTCTCTCTCTCTCCTTAATCCTGCCTGGATACAGTGTGAAACTCTGCCACCTATTGGTCAAGGAGTTACAAACCTGCTCCAGGGAACTGGAGGTGCAGGGATGAGAGATGGCACCGAGGCCGCTGGCAATTACTTCAGAGGAGATGGGGTTTGATGGGTTTTGTAATTCATACTGGATAAGGATGGAGGGTGGGAGGGTGTCACGTGGCATCTGTCACTGGCTGGGATTTGGCAGGAATTTCAAGGAAAGTAAAGCAGCAGCTTTTTATTGATGAAGTTCAGTTTGCTCATTGCTGGTATAGAGAAGTGGTGTTTACTTTTCATTTGGAGGCAGAGTTTACCTGTTTACATTTGAAGGAGCTGTAGAGTTTGGAGTCTGGCTTATTTGTTTGCAGGAAAAGAACCTCAAGGATCTAATTTCTTATTACAAATCGCTCTAAGTGCTCTTCATCCACCTTTATATTTCTAATACACCTGTTACAGTGGACCACCAAAAAAATTATTTGACCATTTTTATATTAAACTAATTACCTTTTGAAGTAACAATACAAAAAATTGCTTGTCCTAGTTTAGAAAATATAAAGATGTGCAGCCTTTTTGTGTTTTATATGTTAGGAGAAGCAATATATTTGTCCTACTGTTGGCAGGACAAAACAAGCAATTGGACGGCATCATCTTGGACTTGATGGCCGTTTTCTTTATTTTCTCACCAATTATGTTCACACCTCATTGGTCAGAACCCAAAAAATTAATGGCAAAGCAACCCCCATAAAATCATCATCATCATCATCATCATCATCATCTGCAGATAAATCAACAAATAAATGACTGGTTCTGGTCACTGGTCTGTTAGGCTCTGCACAGGTCAGTCAGGAGGTCATTTGGATTCTAAGCATTTAAAAACATTCTCCTGTGGCCTGCATGTTATGCACAGAAACTTGACTCTGCATCTCAGGTCATTCCTTTATGTCTGATGATGTTTTTCAACCCCTGTACCCCCTCTCTTTGACCCAGAGACACAAACTCGATTGTGTGCATCCACACAACTGCTCGTGTGTTGCTCTCCTTCCATAAATAAGCGTATTTTTATGTCGGCTCCTCTGCCTTTTTTAAAAGCTCCATAAACAGCTGCTGTGTAAATCATGACTGGCTGTCCAGCACCATCTCACAGATGGGGTCCTCCAATACTATTGGATCATGTTTCACCACCAAGGGACTAATAAACCATTAGTGTTCCAGACAGATAGTGGATATCATGCGCTCTTCAGTGGATTACACACCTACAGCAGTGTTGCACCTAGCATGCTACAGGGCTTCTCCTTAAAAGACTAATTCTGCAATGACCTTATTATGCGTGATTACCCAGGGAGTTGTCGAAGTATGCAATAATGCTGTTTAACTACTTAATGAAATGTAATAAATTCTGTTTAACATTTTAGTCAGTGCTTGGCACTGTAGTACACCACCTACAGAGTGTTATCGTCTGCCTAAATTACCTTTCCACAGGTTAATGTGCTGGAATAAGGCATCTGTAAAATACAATGTTACAGTTTCATCTAGGTTTGGGATGAGCTAATTATTTTAGCATTATGGTCTTTTCTAGTGTGAGAGAAAAGATACACTCCTAGTATCTGAACCAGTAGAGGGTCTTCAAGGTACAAAAAAATCACAGTATTTATATCCAAAATGTGGGGAAATGAAAGAGCAGGCCATAAGATGTCAAAATTGATCTTTTTAAGCATCTGAAGAGCCTCTTCAAGATCCTTTCTGTGTGACCAAACTGCTGATTTTGGCTCCACACGTATAATCCCACATCTTTGTAAGCCTGCAGTCAAGACAGCAAACACGTCCACATTAAGACTGACATGGGTTCATTGCTGCAGGAGTCAGACCTCTGACAGCCGGGCCGCCCTGCAGCCACCTTAGCATGTTGTTTGGCTGCGTTTTCAGGGGCTTCTGTCCTGCTTGACTGGTTTCATTATTTGTTGTGTGAGTTTATGTTGGACGATGATGGGGTGTAGCTCGTAGCTATCGGCCTTGGCAGGAGCGGTGTTGTTTTTGGGACAGAGACAAATGTTCAAAATATGCCCAAAGAGTGGGGCCTTAAGCCGTTTGCGAGACAGTGGTCCTACTTAAAAATATCCTAAGATTATATTTAAAAGCTTTTTTGCACAGTTTTGATGCCACTGGGCTCCATATCAGCTCTGATTGGTGTAGCTTTACTCTTATAACCCTCATAGTAGAAGAGCTTGTTGGGCTTCAGTTTTTTTTCTCTCGCATAAATATAGATATTCTGTGGCATGAACCACTGGAGTTTACTCTACAGGACAGTTTCTTTATCATTCTACCAGATCCCACAGCTTTAGTTGAGATGTTCTCTTCTAATTGAAATTTACTGTTGGAGTGACACTCCCCCCCCCCA